TAAAATGGTTTTTAAAAAAATTAAAAACTGCTTTTATTCTAGCCGAAATAAAACAAATAAGGCTTTCTCCAGAAGGAAAAATATTATCAGACATACTGTGAACAATTCCTTGTTCTGTTAAAGGTTCATAAAACCCTCACATACTTTTTTTTTAAATATAACAGATTTGTGTGTTGAGCATCAGTTAAGACAATGTTAGCCCCTGTCAGATTTAATTGTGGGAAAACCTGGATAAATTTGAGCTTTTGTCAGCTAATTTCAGCTTCCGGTTTTAAAATGATTTTTGTGGCGGGATCAAAATCGGCTGCAACTGCAAGTGCAAAGATGACGCGTCGGTTTCTCGTTATTATTCATAGCGGAGTTTTCTTATCCTATGAGAAGAGCCGGCTTCTTAATTATGCACGACTGCATGTGCTTTCCGAAAGCAAGGCAGACCTGCCAGTGCCAAGCTGCGAGATCCTACCTATATAACTGGGTGAAACAGCGTCCACGGACCCATATCACACAGTTGTTCATGAAGGCTCGTATGTGTTTGTTTTGATGGTCCACAGGGTTTGTTGCATGTTTTTCCCCGTGATCCTTTCAGGGCCGATACAGCAAAGCTGTTTGTGTGCAGCAAGCATTTTTTGTCAGGAGAGCAGTACGAGAATTGGAGAATGGCGGGCTTTGTCTTTTATCAGGAGTTCGTTCACGTTTAGACACATCGCCGTGCTGCTGTGTTCGCCTAAATCCTCCAGATTACCAGCAGGGCTAATGGTTAAAATAGACAGGGCAAGAGACCTGCTGCACTGAGTCTGCATTCAGACCCGGGGATTGAGGGAAAAGTCCTCATTTAGTGCTTTTAGTGCACGATTATTTTTAGAATGATTTAATTGTGTTTGTGTGTATACAATTATGAATAACAAATGTAGCAGGGCATTAAATTACTGTTTATTTCTTTGCATTTTAAATTTGTAAACTATAAAATTATGCATCTCTGCACGGTTTGTGACAAGTTATTCGCTCTCCTCCTTCTCCTCTGCTCTGCTGGCCACGCCCACTCCTGCCCTTTTAATATATATATATATATATATTCAATCATTCATTTTCTTGTCGGCTTAGTCCTTTATTAATCCGGGGTCACCACAGCGGAATGAACCACCAACTTATCCAGCACATTTTTACACAGTGGATGCCCTTTCAGCCGCAACACATCAATGGGAAATATTCACACACTCTCATTCACTACGGACAATTTAGCCTTCCCAATTCACCTGTACCGAATGTCTTTATGGACTGTGGGGGAAACCGGAGCACCCGAACGGGAACCCACGCGAACGCAGGGAGAACATGCAAACTCCACAAAGAAACGCCAACTGAACAGAGGCTTGAACCATCGACCCAGCGACCTTCTTGCTGAGAGGCGACAGCACTACCTACTGCGCCACGGCATTGCCATATATATATATATATATAGTTTTAGACACAACCCTACAAAGTTCTGGATGTAATACTTAATGTAACCCCAAAAGACAAATATGCATACAAATTCTAATAAATATATGTATCTAAATATTTTTTTTAACCCAGGCTCATTCTGATTACGTACCCCTATATATATTTCTGGAGAGAATAAAACAGTAATAAACAGCGTTGATTCATTTGGAGCTGTGTCTGAGTCTACTAGATCCATTCAGAGGTGCACCCAGCTCTGTGAGTTCATTGACTCCTCCAGAAACTTAACCTGGATGATGGAAGCGTTCAGCGGTGCTTCTGACTGAGCTAAGTCCAGTTTGATGTACTGTTGTTGGTGTCGGCAGGAGGATTTTCCCCAGGACACCAACAACAGGCGATACGTCATAATCACGCCCCCTACAAGAGCAAGCTCCCGATTGGTTAACGCGGTGCAAATGTCCACTGAAGTTCAAATTTTCCAACTCGAGCTATTCGTGTGTTAAGCAAAAACGATCAATTCACGGCACTTCATTCGCGTTGCCTCATTTGCACGTATCATGCCGCAGGATGTCTACTCGTGTCTTTGCATTGACTTAACATGAAATCACTTAAATCACTTGCGCTTCTGCTGCTTTAAATATTTCAGAAATCGCTGTCATTACACATTTATAAATGAATAAAAATCATATTAATTTTTCAATGAATGTAAACCTTTTTATTTGTAATATTTACCATTTTAATATTTCATTTGATTTATTTAAACAAACTTTATTAAATTAGTATTTCTATTTTTTTTTCTTTGATAATTGCTTTACAGCCTATAGGATTGTACCATTTTCAAGTACTGCTTTACATGTTTCGGAAATTGATGTCATTACATATTCATAAATTTATTCCAAAATAATATGTATATATGCTAGAAGAGTTAGCGGTTCATTCCACTGTGGCAGCCCCTGATAAATAAGGGACTAAGCTGTAGGAAAATGAATGAATGAATATGTAATTTTTTTGAAATATTAGTTTCTATGAGTTTAGACTACATTTAATATGATTTCTAAAATTAGCATTATTATTAAATATTTCAGAAAAGATTTTTATTACATTTAAAATATATATATATTTTAAAATAATACATATTTTTCAGTAAATGTGAACGTGTAAAAATCCATTGTATATGTCTGGAGGAGGGGGGATTCATTAAAATATATTTTAAGTCTATAAACACACACACACACGCACACACACACACACACACACACACACACACACACACACACACACACACACACGCAACAGAACACAAACATGTCTTAAGGATTTCTTGCATTCTTGAGAGAAATAAAGACTTCATCCCTCAAAACTGATAAATGCTAATGTAAAAAGCGGGAAAAACGCTCCCGAATGTGAATTAAAGGAGTCACAGATAAAAAGCACTTCAGTCGAAAGTGCCATTGTTCAAAGACCAATCCGGCACAACGAGCCTGCTGCCTCAGATAAACACAATTTCACTCTAGTCACTGCGATTACCACACCGCTAATCGCTTCATTTTGCCCGGCGCTACTGCGGGTAAACAAAAGGTCATAATTTAGTAGAATTAGCATTCCAAAAAAGAATCCACTTGAACCTCTTTTGATCTACGAATGCACAGAACACTGATAATGTGTTTTTAATCCCTCTCCAAGTCTATTAAATTGTTTGGGAATTTAAAAAACTTTCGAAAGCTTCTACTAATGCGCACAGTAGTATTTATTGGAATTCAAGCACAGCTTTCAGGATTATAAGAGAAACCCGTTGCAGACTCGACAGAGCAGATAGTCAGACCAAAGTGAAAGGAGAGTGAAAAGCCAAAGACTGTGTGACCGTTTTGTTTTCATACAATACAGCCATGTCTCTTTATACTTCCACTCATGTAGAAACTCTTAGATGCAGCGCTTAAAGCAACTTCTGATTCCGGCCCGGCAGAATCAGTTCAAACCCAATTCATACGAGACTTTAGATCAGACAACAAAGAGCATCCTGAATTGGAGAACACAAGTGGCATCATGGGAGTTTTCCAGAAGTTCTTGCATCGACATAACTAGGTTGAACTCAGGGATCCTAGTTCTTCTGCCAAGCAAAGACAAACAAAACCCAACAAAAACAAAAAAATCTAAAAACCAAAGGTTCTGTCTGAAATGTCGCTCTCAATCCTTAGAGAACACACTTTAGTGATGTAACACAGCATTAAGTGTTGGGTAAAAATCCTTTGGAAAGTTCATAACACCACTTTTCTTAATGATAAAATGACAAACAACACGCTACTTCATGGACACACGCAAACAAGAACTAGTAGTCAACCGATATATCGGTGATATCGGCCAGATTGATTTCTCAATATCAGTTTCTGCCATTAAAAAAACATTTTTTTCAAACACTTACGACAATGTAAACCAACTGCTTGGTTGAGCCTTTTAGATTACTTTGTTGCATTATTTTTAGCTACTCAAACAACAACAACAAAAATTTTAAAAACAAAGGTTCGGTCTGAAATGTCGCTCTCAATCCTTATAGAACACACTTTGGTGATGTAACGCAGCATTGAGTGTTGGGTAGAAATCCTTTGGAAAGTTCATAACACCGCTTTGCACCCCTTTTTCAATGATAAAATGACAAACAACACGTTACTTCATGGACACACGCAAACAAGAACTAGTAGTCAACCGATATATCGGTGATATCGGCCAGATTGATTTCTCAATATAGGTTTCTGCCATTAAAAAAACATTTTGTTCAACCACTTACGACAATGTAAACCAATTGCTTGGTTGAGCCTTTTAGATTACTTTGTTGCATTATTTTTAGCTACTCAACAACAACAACAAAAATTTTAAAAACAAAGGTTCGGTCTGAAATGTCGCTCTCAATCCTCAGAAGACACACTTTGGTTATGTAACATTGCATGTATTGTTGGGTAGAAACCCTTTGGAAAGTTCATACCACCGCTTTGCACCCCTTTTTCAATGATAAAATGACGAGCTACGTCATGGACACACGCAAACAAGAACGAGACGTCAACCGATATAATGATGATATCGGCCAGATTGATTTCTCAATATCGGTTTCTGCCAATAAAAATCACTCTTCGTTACACCGCTTTAAAGAAGGTAACCCAATTGCTTGGTTGAGACTTTAAGATTATTTAGTTGCATTAATTTTAGCTACTCAAACAACAAAAACAAATATGTAAAAACCAAAGGCTCGGTTCGAAATTGTGCTCTTAATCCTCAGAAGACAAACTTTGGTGATGTAACCCAGCATTGATTCCTCGGTAGAAACCCTTTGGAGAGTACATGCCACTACTATTCTCAAAGATAAAATGACAATCGACACACTACTTCATGGACATACGCAATCAAGAATTAGTGGCCAACCGATATATCGATGATATCGACCAGACTGACTTCTCAGTATCGGTTTCTGACATTGAAAATACCATGTTGGTCAGCCACTAACAAGAACACACAAAAAAAAACCCATTCAGGTAAAGACCGAGGTGATACAAAATCCAAAGCGATTTACTGAAAAGTATTTGGTGTCAAACAGTCTTTATTGTGTTCTAGTAAAATCGGCACCACATTCTTAACATTTAAATGGGAAACTGAATGACAAAGTAATCAATTCAAGCAGAAAATGAAATTAAATTTACATTGTAAATGTGGTGTCGACCAAGCAAAGGAAAAACAAACATACATACAAATGCATTTACAGTTCAAAATTCTAACATGTGCTGGATTGTTTCATTGTAACCCAATTGTTTGGTTGAACCTTTTAGATTACTGTGTTGGATTATTTTTAGCTTCTCAAGTTTTATTTAATCAATTGTACCGGCTGTCTGATATATCTGATTACAGTTATTAGACAACAGTTGATTATTTAAACAGCCATTTATGTCCTGTCAGTCAAAACAGAAGTGGAAAAATCTACAGCTACAAAACTCATGCAGTGATTTAAACCTCACTGGCTTGTTAATTAATAGCACTTTTTCGTAATTACGGTGGATTTCATAAAGCACCTTAAGTTTGCTTAATGTTGAAAAGATGCAGTAAAATACAATCGGATTAAACCGCATTCTGAGTTATTTAATAAATATAAAGGTGTTTGAAAAATATGGACCTTTGCACCAGTTATAGAAACTCAATTACAGGAACTAGCCACTAGGCTGGTCAGCTGGGAACTAAATTTCTCCTGGAGCCATTCTCCTGGTTGCATTCGCACCGACAGTAAGAACTCTGAAGTGGCATAAGCTGGCCAACAGTAGACCCTACTCAGACGCAAAGGCTAATTTAATGCCCCAAAAGGTAATTCTTAAATTGGCCAAAAACGACAAAAAAATAAAACTTTCTTATGGTGTAATACTCTCTGATCATTTATCAGTTATCAGTATCAGCAAATACATTTTATATTGCACATTCCTGGTTATTTTTACAATTTTGCGCATAATTGTGCAACCTAGCTGGGGGTCGATAAAACAACAGTAATATTGACTGGTTGCTTTCCTGTCCAAGGAGAAAATATCCTGCTGAGAATTTGGTAAGATTAAGGTTTGCAAGACTGAAAAACTTATGGGGATAATACATATAGTTTTTACTCTAAAGCAGCAAACTTATTTAAAAGTCCTTTAGGATTGCTGGGAAAAAAAGCAAGGGTCAATATGACCACTCTAGCGGAGGAAGCTTTTTTTTTTTAATACTTTTTTTAGGTCTGAAGAATAGAATTCGGAGCAGAGAGAGGGGGGACGGATCGGAATCAGCCATGAATTGAACTCAGGTCGCCGTGAACACCTCAGTGTTTTGTGTCGACACAATAACTAATAGGCTATTGGCGTTGACAAAGCCCCACTTTCTAAAGGAGTCAATCATTGATCACTATAGACTAATGGGGCATTCACACCAGAAGCGGTTTGTGCAAATAACTCACACTATTCGCGTGTAAATAAATGTGTGAACATTTTGAGTTTACTCACTTCATTCACGCGTCAAATGCGCTTCATTCGCGTGTCGAATTCACTTCACAATAGGATTTGCGTCATCGGCGGAGCTTCTGTGTACCCTGTGACTCTAGTTCTGTTGCTAAATGGCTAACATGGACTTTATTGAGAAAGTAGCTGTGCCTTATATGCTTTAGGAAGGCTGAAAAACAGCATAGATTCGTTAAGCTCAGAGTCTACTAGATCCTATCAGAGGTGCAACCAGCTCTATGAGTTTATCAACTCCTCCAGAAACTATACCTGGATGATGGAAGCTTTCAGCAGTGCATCCAACTGAGCCGAGTCCAGTTTGATGAGCTGTTGTCCGGAGTCGGCAGCTGGATTTTCCCTCAGTACACCGACAACAGGCACTACGTCACAATCACGCCCATACTAGTGCAAGCTTCTGATTGGTTAATGCGTTGCAAATGTCTGTTAAAGTTCAGATTTTCCAACTCGAGCAATTCGCATGGTAATCAGAAATGCTCAATTCGCGCCGCAGGATGTCTAATCGCATCTTTGCATTGACTTAACATGTAAATCACATGAGCTTGATGCTATATCCGTGTCTGGTGTGAACGCACCATAATGATTCTCCGAAGAAGGGGCTCGATTCGGAAACATGCTTTTACGTCAGTTTCTGCAGCTTCATATTTATTATTACTCTAGGATTGGCAAATGCATTGAAATCTCAGCTAATACTTTCCTCACAGACATAAGAAATCAAAATGTTCACTGGTTTTGTAATCTGTATGAAACGAACGCAAGATACAGTCATCAAGTGTTGTGAATGTGTTCCCTTCAGTTGCGTATGCGCATTAGTTTGGGCAACCTGAAAAAATGCAATTCTTTGTCATGATTTTAATGTTTACAAACTAATTTTATAAGACGGCTGCTGTTAAATATCCTTGGTGATTCCAAATATGAAATTTAATTACAAATTTGGCAACAGCTAGCTCTCTGCAGTAGACCAACTCACATGGTCGCCCACTGAAGCTAAGCAGGGCTGTGCCCTTTTAGAACCTGGATGGGAGACCACATGGGAAAGCTAGGTTGCTGCTGAAAGTGGTGTTAGTGAGGCCAGCAGGGGGCGCCCAACCTGCGGTCTATGTGGGTCCTAACGCCCTAGTATAGTGAAGGGGACTCTATACTGCTCAGTGAGCGCCGTCTTTCAAATAAGACATTAAACTGAGGTCCTGACTCTCTGTGGTCGTTAAAAATCCCAGGATGTCCATCGAAAAAGAGTAGGGGTTTAACCCCAGCATCCTGGGCAAATTTGCCCACTGGCCTCTGCCCATCATGGCCTCCTAACCATCCCCATATCATAATTGGCTTCATCATTCTACCTCCTTTCCAGCAATCTGCTGGTGTGTGGTGTGCGGTCTGGTGCAATATGGCTGCCATCGCGTCATGCACACTGGTGGTGGATGAGGAGATTTTCCCCAATAACGTGTAAAGCATTTAAAATGTTCAGAAAAGCACTATTTAAATGTAAGGAATTATTATTATTAACAGGGTTGAAGAATTTGATGTTTAACCATTTAAAGAGATAAGAGCTGCAGCTTGTATGCCTGATTGGCATTTCAAAGATGGCCGTCAAATGAAATGACTTGCCTTAAAAGGGACTTTGCCAGAGCTCAACTTTACGCAAATAGAAAGTTACACATTGTATGGGATAATGGTGGAAGTGAAGGCAGAGACCAGCCACCTTATACAGCTGGACATCACACTACAGTAGAAACAGCTGCTTGAAGTCAAATATAATAATATAGACATAAGAATTAAAATAATGGAAAACAATCAATATAATCTGAGGTAAAAAAAATGTATGCCAGCATTATAGTCAGCGGGATTATTTTTGCAAAACACCTTTGTGGGTCCGTTTATCACAACATGTTGTCCTCATTTTATCCTGTGCCAAATCTCCAGTCGGATTCTTTGTAATCAAGCCATGTTTTGAGTGAACACAAGCATGTTTCTGACAGATAAAAGAAACCAAATGACTTGCAATAACAGAGACAAAAAAGGTGTGTGGAGGTTAGATTAAAACCTTGCATTCCATGTAAATGTACAAAAGATCTGTAGTTCCCTTTCTCTCAGTTTATCTTAAGGAGTAAGGGAAAACTGGTCTTGTTCGATGGGTTTTTCCACCCATGCTCCCAGTCCCGCTTTGTAGAAAGCTTTGAAAAGAGTCTGTTTCGCCTCATGATACTCGACCGCCCCTTGTTTTGCCTCGTGGTAGGAGCCAGGCCGAGATCCTCGGATCCGCAGAGTCTCACTGAGCTGAGAGAGGTAAACCAATATATTTCAAATTGAATACAGCAAGTAATTAAAAATGTCTTAACACCCTAAATGTCATTTATCCTTTAAAACCTTAACAAATGTTTTACCTTTGCATGTAGACAGACCCAACGACTGTAAAGAGCGTGTTTGCAAAGTTGCGACTGTCTTCCGAGGTCATCTTTTCCTGTGGTTGCGTTAATGATCTCCAACCCCTGGTCTCCTACTGTCCAGTTGACGCTGAAATTAGGAGCTTTCCCAGGTTGCCTTGCTTCTGTGTTACTGATACCTGCAGAGAAAAGAACAAAAATGTTTGGGCAAAGAGTTTCTTTATAGAAATCTAATGAATGGATATACAGTGCATCAGAAAGTATTCATATCCCTTCACGTTTTCACATTTTTTATGTTACAGCCTTATTCCAAAATGGATTAAATGCATTAATTTCCTCACAACTCTACACACAATACCCCATAATGACAATGTGAATAAAGAGTTTTTGAAATTGTTGCAAATTTATAAAAATAAAAAAGCTGAAAAATCGCATGTAGATAAGTATTTACAGCCTTTGCCATGAAGCTCTAAATTGAGCTCAGGTACATTCTGATTCCACTGATTAGTCTTGAGATGTTTCAGCAGCTTCATTATAGTTCAACTGTGGGAAATTCAGTTAATTGGACATGATTTGAAAGGGCATACACCTGTCTTTATAAGGTCCCAGGGTTGACAGTGCATGTCAAAGCACAAACCAAGCATGAAGACAAAGGACCTGTCTGTAGACCTCCGAGACAGGATTGTCTCGAAATATTCAAATATATTTGAACATATATGAACATATTTGTAATTTCAATTGTTGGTTATTATATATAATGATTTTTTGCACTATTTTGACACATATGACATTCATATATGTTATATTCAAATATGAACTACAATGTCTTATATGTAATTTGCATGTATTGTCACGTATCATCTTTCTATATGTGTTGAGAAAACTGACACAATCGTAAATTGATTTATTCAAGATGCTTTACCGCTAAGAAGTGGTCTGTTGATTCTGAATGGCGGGGGAATATCATCCATGTCTGCGATGCGCTGGTACATGGCTCTGGAAAGATGGTCAGCATGATACAGACTTCCCAGAATTAAACTGGAGAAATAGATGGGCTCTGTGAAGTAACTCAGAAGAGATCCCTGTACTCCGATCACGTTCCATCTGCAAAAGGAGAACTGAGTTACTAAAAAGTACAGGTGAAACTTGTTTACTGTTAAAGGAAGGAAGCTTTTAAATCGCTAGCTGCAAGCAGCACAAAGTGGAATCACCCCCCCCGTGGACATACAGCATGTCAGTTAAAAAGCCGTACCGTTTCGCGAAGGAATGAAAAAACATCCTGATGTCAAGAGAGCACACCCGCACAGAGTCATATTTACAGGAACTGTTGAAATTATCTGAAAAATAACACCTGGGGCCTATAATCTCAATCACTGCAATTTCTCAGAGGCCTTCAGAATGAGTTTTTTTCCAAAAGTGACGCATGAGATCTGAGCTCTTGAAAAGCCACGGCTCACAGCTGGATGATAACCACCGCGTTTAACTGGAGAGGATTCCTTGGCATCCAACATGAGGCATGCGGATGTGTTTGCGGCAGCAGGCTTCCCTCAGCGGGACTGCTGTTTTTTTGGAGGTCATAATCAGAGGCCTAATCAGGGGCCCAGTGGCCCGGCTCCAGGGAGCCCCCTGCTTTGGAGAGATCTGAAGTGATTGGGGTTTTAGAGCCAAGAAGACAGCCAATCAGCTGCTTTCTGAGTGCCACTGGATGTAGATGATTGAATGGTAATGAGAGGGATTCGTTAAAATTGGTGGGGGCGCAATAAATATAAGAGACAGTCACAGAAATTGTTCAGCATTAAGCAGATCAAAGACAGTGTTGCTATGAAAGTGGCTCAACTGATGACGGGAGGTTTTTTTTTTCCAGTATAGGGCTGGGCGATTTGACAAAAATCTCATATCACGATTCAAATCATTTCATATTTGATAATGATGTATTTCACAAGATGTAACTAAAACTGCTTTTATTCCAGTCAAAATAAAACAAATCAGACTTTCCCCAGAAGAAAAATATTATCAGACATACTGTGAAAATTTCCTTGCTCTGTGAAACATCATTTGGGAAATATATATAAAAATAAAAAAAAATCAAAGGGGGGCTCATAATTCTGACTTCAACTGTATATACACAAACACACACACACACATATATATATATATATATATATATATATATATATATATATACACAGTTGAAGTCAGAATTATTAGCCCCCCTGAATTATTAGACCGATTATTTATTTTTTCCTCAATTTCTGTTTAACGGAGAGAAAATTTTTTCAGTAAATTTCTATTCATAATAGTTTTAAGAACTCATTTCTTATAAATGATTTATTTTATCTTTACCATGATGACAGTGAATAATATTTTACTAGATATTTCTCAAGACACTTCTATACAGCTTAAAGTGACATTTAAAGGCTGAACTGGGTTAATTAGGGTAACTAGGCAGGTAAGGGTAATTGGGCAAGTTATTGTATAACAGTGGTTTGTTCTGTAGACTATCGAGGAAAAATATAGCTTAAAGGGGCTAATAATTTTGTACCTAAAATGGTGTTTAAAAAATGAATAACTACTTTTATTCTAGCTAAAATAAAACAAATAAGACTTTCACCAGAAAAAAAATTATTATCAGACATACTGTGAACATTTCTGTTAAACATCATTTGGAAAATATTTTAAAAAGAAGAAAAAAAATTGAAGGGGGCTAATAATTCTGACTTCAACTGTATATATATTATCTCTAATAACTGATTTATTTTATCTTTGTCATGATGACAATATAAAAATAATATTTGACTAGATATTGATGAAATAATTTTTGACTAGATATTTTTCAAGACACTTCTTTACAGCTTAAAGTGACATTTAAAGGCTTAACTAGGTTAATTAGGTTAACTAGGCAGGTTAGGGTAATTAGGCAAGTTATTGTATAAAGATGGTTTGTTCTGTAAACAGTCGAAATAAATTAGCCTAAAGGGGCTAATAATTTTGTCCTTAAAATGGTGTTTAAAAAATTTAAAGCTGCTTTTATTCAAGCCGAAATAAAACAAATAAGACTTTCTCTGGAAGAAAAAATATTATCAGACATACTGTGAAAATTTTCTTGCTCTGTTAAACATAATTTGGCAAATATTTAAAACAAAAGAAAAAAAATCAAAGAGGCGGTATTAATTCTGACTTCAACTGTATATATATATATATATATATATATATATATATATATATATATATATATATATATATATACACACACACACACACACACACACAACATTTTCTTCTAAAATTAACATTTTTCTCTAACACTTGTTTGTTGGCATTTATAGTGACAAATTTATAGTGACGAATAAGTACTTTTAATTGCCTTTCAAGCGAAATAACTGAACATAAACATAGCAGGTTGAGAAAAATTCTCATTTTAGGAGAATATTTCAGATGGCATGTAGAGGTTTTTGCATCTGAACTCTTCATATACATACATACACAAATACGCACACACACAATTATATACACATATATGAACGTGTTTCAGTAAACAGTGTATTTTGTGACACCACTACATAAACAATAATGCACAATGTATTTTTTTTTATTTTGTCCATATGATAAATATTTTCATATTGCACAGCCCTATTTCAGTTTATATCAACCAAAGCTACAGCCATTTGTACATTAAGATTGTGCATGGAAACCATAAACTGTGCACATCTGGTGGACAAAAACGAGCCCTGCTCTATTTCATTGTTGAAAAATGGGTTGCAAATGTATCTTTAATATGCACTTTGAATCAAATACATTTGCAGAGGCAAACGACAGTACTAGTACTTTATTGAAGCACTGTGTTAATGTGTGTTTCCACTTCAGTCCTTTATTAATGGCATCGTACCTGGCAATTTTGTCACTGCATGACATGGTTAGCAGTCGCTCTCCCTGCAGGACTCCATCCCAAGTCTGAATGGTGTTACTCGTACGAACAGGTATCGTTCCTTCTCCAGACTCAATCTTGGTTCGTAGTTGTCCACGGGCCTTGCGGTTTGGATGTCGGTCACCCTGGTCTACAAAAAGAGCTAGAATTTAGTTTGCTACATTTATTCGTCTTCATTTTGTTGTTTCATAAAAAAAAGTAAATGAGCAAATCCGCATCCATCCATCATACAAAATTTACATACCCTCGGCACCAGCCTCATGAGGGGAGAAGATCCGGGCGTCTCCACAGGGCGACGTGCTGATATACAGATGGAATTGAATATCATCTTTTAGCCGGTAGCCATGTTCACTGCACCATCTGAATATGGATTTCTCATGTTCTTCAGTGCTGTCGCTACAGAGAAATTACACACACACACACACTTGTGTGATTCATGGTGTCAACAGTAACATTAAAGAGTGACTTAAAATGTTTATAATTAAAGATAGGTTCTTAGCCTGACACCCAATTCGTCAAATCTGTCATTTATTATTTCACAGTGAATAAAAAGGTCATGTCTAATCAATTACACACACACACACACACAGCTATGTCCATATCAATCCATGCTAATCAGCCATTGAGAATGAACCCAAAAATAGTTTTCCATATCCACTGGCTAGCATGTCAATTCCCGATGGCTATAAAACAAACGAATTATACATACACTCACCGGCCACTTTATTAGGCACACCTTCCAAGTGCCGGGTTGGACCCCCTTTTGCCTTCATAACTGCCTTAATCCTTCGTAGCATAGATTCAACAAGATACTGGAAATATTCCTCAGGGATTATGGTCCATATTGACACTATATGCATTATAGATATCGCAGTTGCTGCAGATTTGTCTGCTGCACTTCTATGTAGCGAATCTTCCATTCCACCACATTCCAAAGGTGCTCTATTGGATTGAGTTCTGGTGACTGTGGAGGCCACTTGAGTACAGTGAACTCATTGTCATGTTCAAAAAAACCACGCTTTATGACATGGTGTGTTATCCTGCTGGAAGTAGTCATCAAAAGACAGGTACACTGTGGTCATAAAGGGACTTTGTCAGCAACAATACTCAGGTAGGCCGTAGCGTTGACACGATGCTCAGTTGGTACTAATGGGCCCAAAGTGTACCAAGAAAATATCCCCCACACCATTACACCACCACCACCAGCCTGAACCGTTGATACAAGGCAGGATGGATCCATGCTTTCATGTTGTTGACGCCAAATTCTGACCCAACCATCCAAATGTTGAAGCAGAAATTTGATCCTCTTCACACGAGGGAACGGTTTTCCAATCTTCTATTGTCCAATTTTAGTGAGCCTGTGTGAATTGTAGCCTCAGTTTCCTGTTCTTAGCTGACAGGAGTGGCACCTGGTGTGGTCTTCTGCTGCTGTAGCCCATCCGCCTCAAGGTTGGACGTGTTGTGTGTTCAGAGATGCTCTTCTGCATACCTTAGTTGTAACGAGTGGTTATTTGAGTTACTGTTGCCTTTCTATCAGCTGGAACCAGTCTGGCCATTCTCATCTGACCTCTGGCATCAACAAGGCATTTGCGCCCACAAAACTGAAGCTCACTGGATATTTTCTTTTTTCCCGACCATTTTCTGTAAACCCTAACGATGATTGTGCATGAAAGTCCCAGCAGATCAGCAGTTTCTGAAATACTCAGACCAGCCCGTCTGACACCAACAACCATGCCACGTTTAAAGTCACTTAAATCACCTTTCTTCCACATTCTGATGCTCAGTTTGAACTGCAGCAGATCGTCTTGACCATGTCTACACGCCGAAACGCATTGAGTTGCTGCCATGTGATTAGAAATGTGTATTAACGAGCAGTTGGACAGGTGTACCTAATAAAATGGCCAGAGAGTGTAGTACTGTATTATAACACATTCTTTAATGTAACCCTACTAAATTATACCTGAGGAAGTATTCCAGCTGATTGTACAGGTATCTAATGAGTGAGCGCCGTGCGATGATCTCAGCATGGCAGTCATTAAGGGCCAGTCCTCGATCGCTCATGTACTCTCCGTTTATACACTTGGTTCCCGTCGTCACACAAATCACCTGAGCGTCCATCACATCCTTACCTGATGAAATAGATGATGTAATTTACCCAAATATGATGTTTTTTTTTTTTATGGATCAGATTTTAGAAGTATGCATTGTGTTTACCGGTTGTCATGACAACTCCTGCCAGGACTTTCCGCCGTGCATGTGGAGACGAGAAGTTGTCTGTCAGCTCGCTGAACTTATCCACAACTAAACGAGAGACCGCATCCGCGAGGACCTGAGGAACCCACAATTAAAAATATGCAAGTATCTTTATAATGCTAACAAATAGTGCCAATATGACACCTAGCTAAACAGCAACAATACATTGCATGTATACAGTAAATGTCACTTAAACAGAGCACATGTATCCATTCGAAAATGGTTGACGAGATACAACTGTAATGCTAATTCAGAAATGTCAGGATTGACTGACAGATTTGTTATAATGAAAGATGTCTTTAGACAGAAAGGTGAAAGTGATGTGTTTCCCTGTTCGAGGAGTGCTCCCGTATCTGATTTTAATTAAGATTCTGTTTATTCTCCTTGGCTGTTATCAAGGGGGAATGGGAAGGATTATGAACAGGATTAGCTAATGTGTAAATAATGCCATGTACACTGGCGCACCGATTAAAGGTTTAATGCTTGACTTCATTTAAAATCCAACGGAAACATTTGTGTGTAGATTCTGATTTAATTAAAATTCGTTAAATGAAGACTGGCAGGAGATTTATAAAGGACAAATGATGGTTAAGCGGAGCTACCGGAGCATAGCATTTAATCGCATTAAAATTGCTTTTTCAGTATCAAGCCTGATAAAACGAGAGACAGGGGTCCGGTGTATGTGGTCATAAAGGAATGAGCGAAATTAATTCATTCCGTAGTCAGTTATGTGTATCAGAAGCTATGTTTCTGTCCAAATATGCTAATTTGATTCATGCGCAAAACTGGAATATTGCATAAAAAGACCTGCAAATTCCATCCAATGAGTCAAAGAGAACAAAATTGCCACTTCTGATAGACTGAATATCAACTAAATATCAGAAATGAAAATGGAAATTGCTGCATTAGGAGATGCCACTGTGGGTCTTTCTGATTACATAATACATTACTTACACCCAGGGCTTAACATTAACTTTTTTGACCACCAGCCACTGTGGCTAGTAGTTTTCCAACATTACTAGCCACTCGCCATTTTCACTAGCCACAATTTTATTGTTGGGAAAATATTTTTTCATGTAAAAACATGCAAAATATAGCTGAATACTATACTTTTTATTTAACAAAACATATGCACAGTCAAATGTCCTGGCTAAAGGTCACAGATCACCAGTTAACTACACGTAAATGGGGAGTTATTCTCCCATTAAAGCAATGTTATTGTAACAATTGATAGTTAAACCATATTAATGCAAAAGAAAGCAGGTGAAAAACATACTGTGGGATAATGAAAGGATGATCACACACTCATGGTTAATGATAATTATCTTTTCAAAGGATGCTTAAACCGAAAGCAACTGGCGCTGCTTACGATAAGTCAACTCTGGAACTCTAGAAAGCAAGACTGTATGTGCATGTTCCTCCCTTTTTGTTCTGTCTATTTGAAAGAGAATCGATCGCATCAGTTGTGTTTCAAGACACAGTTGCTTCACAAAAGGAAACGGGAGCGCGCACGCGTTATAAACAGTCGCGCACATCACCTTAGCTGTTAGCGCGGGTGATTATCCTCTCATTCGGAATTCACCTGCTTTGCTCGCGCGAAGTTGCGAACGCAATTATTTTTGTCAGTCGTGTTGCTTCTCGATCGCCTGTGCATGCATATTGGACCATCCTTATTGTCGAACCCTGCTTTTAAGAATTATTATCTGGGAAAATTATTTTTAACCAGCCAAAGTGGCTAGTGGGAGTGTCTGTCTTACCCTCCCCCGCCGAAATCTACCCGCATTTGGCGGGTTGGCGGGTGTTAATGTAAAGCCCTGGTTACACCCTAGAAGATTAACATGAAACACAAAGAATTGCTTCACTCATGGTGGCTTTTGGAGACTCTCTTTGGGAGTGCATCCACTCAAGATAGTTCTGGAAGTAATAATACTGAACCACTTTAATGACAGAATTTGGCTGAGGAATTTTAGAAGGACCAAAACAACATTTCAGATGTTTTACAATGTGGTCACTCTGCTGGTTTGTCCATTAGTGCCATGTAATGCAATGTGGATGCCACATGACAACGGCGCCAGTACGCTCACCACACACCAGCTATAGGTGGAGTAAAGTGACAGTGATAGAACCATTTCTGTGGATGGGGAGGATTGGGAAGCCATGATGTGTTAGGGCCAATAGAGGGAATTTGGCCAGGTCATCGGAGTAACACCCCTACTCTTTACAAGAAGTGCCATGGGATTTTTAATGACCACTTAGAGTTTAGACCTCGGTTCAATGTGTCATTTGAAAGACAGCACTCACTAACTGTATGTCCCCTTTACTATACTGGGGCGTTAGTGCCCACACAGACCAAAGGGTTGAGTGCCCCCAGCTGGCCTCACTAACACCACTTCCAACAGCAACCTAGTTTTCCCATGTGGTCTCCCATCCAGGTACTGACCAGGCTCAGCCTTGCTTAGCTTCAGTGAGTAACCAGTCTTGGGCTGCAGGGTGGTATGGCTGTATCCCATCATGCATATCACATGATATGTTAAACTAAATCACATTCCTTTTGTGATTTGGTAAATGTGTTTCCATCATAGTTTGTGCACCTTTTTAGTATCGGATTAAAAGTTGGTCCTGCTCTTTTGTATGCAGCATCTTGGCGTTTCCATTAAACTTTTTTTTTTCATGCAATATTCCAAATGCACGTGACAGCTATAATCTAAACTCAGCCTTTCCATATGAGGTCAATCAATAACATGTAAAGATTTATTCAAAGTGGAAAGTATCCTCCAAGAAGATGAGGTACACATTCAGTTCTCACCTGGGGCAAATGCAGCTGAAGTCCCTCCCTGGGGATTGGCTGTCGGGACGGTGTTTGGTCCAGCTGCATGTTAAAGAGTCCTGACAGCGCCGCTTGGGCTGCCCTTGCCTTGGCCAACTTTTTATTTCGGCCGGAACCTTGGAACTTCTGCGTGTCCACTGTCACTGACATTATGAAGTTCTTGGCATGACTTTCGCCACTTTCAGCTACAAACTCGTACTTCAGTCCTGGACGAAGCTCATTAAGGATCATTACAGCATTTTTGCCACTGCCTGTAGGGGGAGCTGTGAGTGCAGGGGCTAGTGGGAGAGGAGGGTGTGGCCTGTTTTTATATTTCAGTGTTACAGGAAGGCGGTATTCCTTTAGGGAGCAGAGAGACCCATTGCTGCCGAGACTCAGGTAGAAGGGGTCATCAGGTGGTACAGGTGTCTCAAATCCATTAAACAGCATATCTGGGAAATCTGCTTGATCAGATGTGAAGTCTGCATTAACTGTGAGCGTACGCCCCATTGCAAGGTGAGCTTCGGACGCATTGGGGAACTGAACAAAAGAGCGGAGTGCTTTTTCTGCAGCATTCAGTTTGGCTTTCTTCTTGGTTGGGCCTGAGCCCTCAAAAAGCTGCCCGTTAACCTCAACAGTCATAACAAACACGGGTGCGTGTACCGGCCCCGTCTGCGACAGTAGTTTGTACTGCAGTCCCGGTTTGATTTCATTCAGTTGCATGAGTGCATTTTTTGGCAAGATTGGCCCTTGTGGTTTCCTGCGCTTTTTAGGCCGGAATTTGGAGTGTCCATGGCCTTTGTTGCCCTCTTCAAGAGGGCGTTTCCTGCTCAATCCTCGAGCACTCCCATTGGCTAAGTGAGGCCCCTCCCCCAGCACTTCTTTGGAGGAGAGGTTGTCCAGGTTGCGGTTTTCTTTAACATCCATACTGCATGTACCTGTGATGTCCAGAGAGAGTAACTTACAATGCCTTCAATGCAGGACCTTGTAAATGCAAAATTTAGAGATTCTTTCATCTCTCTTTGCAACTGGATTGAAATGATAACATCTTAAATGTCTAACATTAACTCAATTTTAGACAGCATTTTAGCTATGACAGAGATTAAGGGCAATGTACGTTGTTAAAACAAGAAATAACAAGATATTAACACATTCCAAATTGAAAACTGATTCTAAATGTCTACAGATTGACTCTGGGAATGTGTGTCATTGTTCACCCTAAACAAAGAATTACTACCAAGTACCAAAACAAAGAACATCACTTCAACTAGTTGCGAAAGTTGATGGAAATGAGTGTAAATTCACATTTATAACATCCTGCAGTAAAAGCTTGTCAAGTTACTCCATTTGGTGCTCAGGAAAAATCTTTTGAAAGGCAGAAGAAACAGACAAACAGAAATCACTGAAATACACAGTGCTACCATAAGGTCAATCTCAAATGTCTGGTTAGGTCAAACTGAATTTCTTTTTGGAGACTCGTGTATTTTTTTTTGCAGCAGAAAGGTATCCCAGAGGAAGTGGTAAACAGCAAAAAGAGCAAAGAATTTTCTCTGCATTTGTCTACTGCCTTCTTTGTTGATGGTCCATTAGTTTCTACTGACAAAACATGAACAATTTCCTGTAGGAGCCTGCAATTCACACTACAGGCATTGTATCAAACATTTAAGGAGTTTGATTGGGCTTTGTCTGTGCTTGATCAGGGTTAATGATTAGGGTTGGTCACCAAATACTTTAGAGTCAGACCAAAGCAGGCCAAATGGGGCTTTAGAAGTGATCAGGAACCATAATGAGTCAGGCAATTTTAGCAGCATTACTTATTTGCCATATCAGGCTACTAGTAACATCAACATTTAAAACTTTTCAGGTCAGAACCAGTGAGTAGCTGACATCTTTAGCACAGACAAATTCTTGATCAGATATTATTTCTCAACAAATACTGTGTGGCAAAAATAAAACAGGTTTGTTAAGGTCGAAATGTACTGTTCCACTGTTGGCTTCACTGTTCCATGTTCAAGGATGTTGGCTCTGAATGGCTTGTTGTTAGCCTTGGCCCAACAACGAAAATATGGCTACTATGGAACATTCATGGCATCGGTTGCCCTTCTCTAGAGCAGGTGTCACCAAACGTGTTCCTGGAAGGCTGGGATCTGCAGAGTTCAGCTCCAACCATTATCAAATACACCCAAACAAGCTAATCAAGTTCTTACTAGGTATACTTGAAACCTACAGCTAGTTGTGATGAGACAATTTAGAGCTAAACTCTGCAGAGACATTGACCCTCAAGAACCGGTATTGGTGACCCCTGCTCTAGAGGCTGTTTCCAGCCTATTTAGTGTCCCAATGGGTTTCTTTATAAATCTGTACAGGTTGTGGTATTTGCTCATGCTAAATGAACCTAAATTTTGTCTTTTGGTTCAGGAACTACAGAGAAAAGATACTGGATGATATCTAACAGAAGGGTTGGAAGTTAAAAGGTATAGGAATCAAGGGTCAATTTTAAGGTGCAACTATCTCACTACCTTGATCATCCTGTTTTTAACAACAACAACAAAAACAAGGACAAATTAAAAGACATATGGAGATCATACTGAATTCTTCTTGCAAACACTTTTCACTTCAGAAATCTGGAAACGTTCAGTATGAAAAGTGAAGAAAGAGTCTCCCTTATGGATATAAATGAAACCCCAAAATAATGCTTTCACACAGGGTTTTTTTTGTTGGACTCTGAGAGTTTCTAATCCTCACTGGACTGAATCATCACACTCCAATTTCAGAGTTGTCAACAGCCTTCACTTTTCCACAGTGCTGCCTGTCTCCAGATTGTCCTCCCGGGCATGGTTTTAACTTTCTAACCATGCCCCCTACAGATTCTGAAGTGCACAGTCCACAGTACCCTCAAAGGCAATGATCAAGAGGAAAACATGTAACAGGATCTCACTGATAGAGTGAAAAAAACAGTGCAAGAGTGCAGAATTCAAAGGCTGTGACTATTTGTGTAGGTTGCATATTTTTTTTTCCTTCCAAGCTTTTAAGTTCTGTCTTTTAACAATCTGTACCAGTTAAAGGAGCTATATGTAAGAGTTTTCATGTAGTTTCAAGTTGCTTTTTACTGCCAATGATTGAACAGCGAAGCTTAAAACAAAAAGTACTGATGTCTGATGTTGTCTACGGCATCTGAATGATCTTTAAGGTTACATCACCACAAAAATATATCCAACATCTAACTTCTGGCAAAAGTTCTAGTAAGAAGATTTGGGGCATTGGATCAGAGCAAAAGCTGCAGTTCACTTAGATGCAGCTGCAGATGTCTGTACCGGCGGGTACAACATGACGTCTTTGAGTATTCAGCATTCATTAATGAGAAAGACTTGGTTCAAACCTATCAACAGTCTTCAATGCTATATCATGCAAATCAATGAAGTTGCATCTCATTTACAGTAGTGCACCTATTGTGAATGAGGTCCAACTTCATTAACATGCATGATATAGCTTTAAAGAAGATTTAAAGTTTTTACCTGTTATAGTGTTAAGAGAGATGCCACGTTGTGTTGCCAGCCGTAATTAAAACAAGTGGAAGAAGAATTGTTTTGAGACATGGGTCGTCAGTGTTGTGTTTATAAATGTGCCACAACGAAGGTTTTGTTTCCATTTTCCTTGCGATGAGAGCACCGATCTCATGTGGACATGTGTGGATTACAGTGGTCTGCTAACACGCGACAAAAATATGTTTGTAAGTACTATTTTTTACCCGAGAGCTTTTTCCGTCTGGAAATGGTGAATCCTGATTGGCCACTCGTCTTCTTTTAAAATAGACGTGGTTCCAGTTCGTGTTGATTGTCCGGTCTCTACACATTTGGTAAGTGTGCGATCAGTGTTCTTTGTTTATGTCTATTCAAATGGCAATGTTAGTTAGTATCGTCAGCAGTACTCTTTCAGTTTTTAAAGACATACCTAAAGCCCTGCTTACACGATTTTGTCATCTGAGTAAAATTTGGGAAATCCAAAAAGATTCCTGAAATCCTAGGCTAAAATCTGTGATCTTTGATTGTTGGTTTGACATCTTCACAGACAGCCGCTTAGTGCCTGTTGCGATCAGCTATGATGAGTGTCAACAGGAGCTCCAAATTTGAAGACACAATCCCTGTGACAGTTCATACGACTACGGGGAAATGTCAAAACTGTTTTTTTCTTTCTGGTTTACTATTGAGACACGCCGTGTGCAAAATTGCCGCTACAGATTGCTTACGTTTGCTGTGAGGAATCATTTCAGAATGTGGGATAGTGAAATTGTCACGGGTGGATGACGTCAAACACAGGGGGCATTTTCTTTCATATTTGGCATGTCTTCATTGTCGTTCAGTCTGACTTTATTGCAGCTGAGATCTTACAGTGCGACATGGGACCATGTTTGTGCAGTCTGACATGCTACTCTCATTCAGGATTTTATATAAAAAAATGTACAAAAAAATTTGCACAGTATGAGCTGACCTTTAGTCAAAATGATTTAGTTATTAAGTTTACAGTGCGTTAATATCAATACAATATTATGGACTGAAAGATCCGTAGTAAATGCTGCTCTCCGAATGTAAACACCGTAATCAAACTATTGCCATCGTGTAGGATTTTCACCACATTTTGTGACAGGATAGTCCATACAGACACGGCTGTTTGATGCTATATCTAAAATACCAAGAAATGTAGAGTTTTTTTTTTCTCCCATACTGCGTGTGGTATCAAAAATTATATTAAAACAACAGGCTTCCAGCAGTTCCTCGCATCCAATATGGATTGAGGGGGCATGCATGAAATATTCCTGAATGAAAGTGAAAGTGCCAAACTACAGTTAAAGTCTACAAATTAAGAATGAAACACCCAAACTTACATGAAACTCCAGAGCAAATGTCAAAAGCGTGGTGACATTAATTGAATTATGTGCTACAACATCTAAAACGGGGTCATGAAAGGAACATTCAAAAAGTAAACACCTTAATTATATTACTGTCTTAATCAGATTAAGGCAAATAATTTGCTTACTCATGTCCATGTAAACGAAGTTACTGTATATCTCCCCAGTGTCTGTGTTTGTGTTGACGTGAAAATCAGCTGTAGTTTCATGCAAACCCTTCCCTCTTTCGCCACTCGACAGTCCCATCTAAACAAAGCTGCACTCACCCATTTCCTGACTTTTTAAAAAAAAGGGATGTTAAAAAACCCTCCTAAGACAGGGGGCTGGGGGGGGGGGGGGTTATGGCCCTTTAATGTCTATTTGTTATTAACAAAGATATTTGAATTCTTCATATAGTTCCTTTACCTGACAAAAAAAAGACATTAGCTATGTTTACTGTCAAAGATATGAATTAGACTTAAGTAAAAAAACTGGAATATCGCATAACATTTTTGTGAATAAATTACCATTTCCATCCAATGAGTCAAAGAAAACAAAAACTGAATTAGCTGTGGTCGGAGAAAACACTGTGGGTCTTTGTTCTAATACAAAACTGTACTTGACGCAAAACGCAATGTACATGCAGTGATTTTTGAAGGCGTGGGACGCTTTTTGGGATCGCTCAAGACAGTTCTGGAGGTAATAACACCTAACTACTTTGATGACAGACTTTGGTTGAAGGATTTTAGAATGACCAAAATAACATTTCAGATGGTTTACAATGAGGTTTGTCCATTAATGTTATCCCATCATGCCCATTTTTGTTGTCACATCATGATCAGCATCAGCATCTGCAGTCCCAAAGAGCATCCCACGCCTTCAAAAATCACTGCACATTCATTGCGTTTTGTCTCCACAGGTACATTTTTCTATAAGAACAAAGACCTGTGGGGTTTCTTCCTCTATTCCATTTTTGTTTTCTTTGACTCATTGGATGGAAACGGTACTTTATTCTCAAGAATTTTACGTGATATTTTAGTTTTGTGCAAAATAACAGAAGGTAATGTTTGTGAAAATTGCTTTACATTGTACCTGTACTATCAATTTATTAAGAAAAGCAAAGACTCATAGGGAAAAACTTTTTATCTTCTCTGAATTTAGGGTTAGAGAGGACAGAGAGGAAGAAGTCCTGAACATCATCCTATCAGTCTTCCGCATCCAAACATTCATTCATTCATTCATTCATTTAAACATTTGGTCCCACTTTATATTAAGTGTCCTTAACTACTATGTACTTACATCAAAAAATAAATACAATGTACTTACTTTGTTCATAAAGTATTTGAGAACACTTGTGGTGCTCTTGAGTTGGGATAGGGGTTGGGTTATGGACAGGTTTGGTGGTGTGGGTAGGTTTATGGGTGGGTTAAGGTGTAGGGAATGGTCAGCAGTGTATTTACAAATGTAATTACAGAAGTTAACTACAGATGTAATTACATACAGGTATTTAATCAAGCATAAGTACACAATAAATACATGTATTTACATAATAAGTACATTGTAACAAACTATTAATTCCTGTGTAAGTATATATTAGTTAAGGCCACTTAATATAAAGTGGGACCAAACATTTTAATAAAAGCTGAAACATGTTTTGTCAAGCACATACGAATATCGGAAGATATGGCAAGACAACAAAACACTCACTCAAGTGTTTGTCCTCATCCACATCCAGACTGCAGAACTTCTGCTGCCCTCTGGGCCGCCCGCTGGCTCCAACTGCAGAGGAACGAGAGCAAGGACATTGAATATTCATCTCTGATCATGATTTCTGCTTACTGAAGTCATCTGTTCCCACTTACACCCTCCGCCTGCTCCCTTAATGAGGCTAATTAACCAGCTTTAATGACGGGAGACAACTAATGTGCAGGTGCAATTATTGCCCAATTAAATGCTAACATTCCCCTAATGAATCAGGAAAAGAGACAGACAGAGCACGCTTTGAGGAAACAGTCACTTTTAGCACTCAGACAGAAGTTCAGAAAATTGGATGTCTTTTGGAAAGAACAGTTTTGTGTTTATTGGCATAAAAAATGGAGGTCACGACAACAAATAAGAAAAATGATTTTGTAGATTCTTAAGATTCACGCCAGTTCTTTTGTCATTATTACTGGTTTGAACCATGGTAAATTTTCTGATGGTTAGTATTACTGTTTCAAATGTTCATTATTATCATTAAAATCGTGATATATAAATGAGCAATAGCACAGGAGTAGCTGTGCGATGTGGCTGTATATCGGCACTAGTGGGAGGCATGTGTTGCCTTAGTGTCCCACCAGTGATGATATAGAGCCACATCCCACTGCTATAAGTGTGATATTGCGTTTATACAACAGTTTAACGGCATAATCGTGTATATAAAAAAAAATCAAACATAGAGAGTCTAAAAGCCCTTTTGTGTGAGGAACTACTTTCTTCCGCTATTCATTCACATCTGCAGCTGATGTCAGAACATCAGAAACCAATGCTAATTTACTAACGTCACTTTAGAGCTACTGTTTGAATGATTCTCTAGCGTAATGTCTAAAGTGATGATGCTGATTTTGCTCACATTTTAATATTATAAGGCTGAACGGCATGAAATACCATCTAAGTCTACAGAGATTTCCATATATTTATTTCTCTGTTGCAATCGGTAGATCACAATATTACTATGGTAAAAATAAAGCACTACAATATACAGAGATAAAGAGAGAGATCGACTTAGAAAGTCATTTACCTGTTTGATCAGCTGTAGTTTGAAATGAGTTTTTTTCTCTTAGGGCTTATTATGCATTACTGTTGCCATCTTGTGGATAAACATCATCTACCGTCTTTGCTAAAAGACAAGCTAATGGCCGCCGACGCGCTGTCTCTCAGAAATTGTAAATATTTAAAAATCCTTATAAATAAATTGCATAGTTGCAATCTAAACAACTACATTCTCAACTAAAAAACGCCTCCAAAGTACATTATGTTTGCCCAACATCAGTAATATTTGTCAAACAGTAGAGTGTCCTCTGCTTGTTGCTGTATGTGGGTGGAAAAATACAAGGGTGAAGAGGCTAGTCGACTGGTAATACTGGCAGAATATAGCACAGCTATCAGCCAATCAGATTCAAGAACCAGACAGAACTGTTGTGTGTGTGTGTGTGTGTGTGTGTGTGTGTGTGTGTGTGTGTGTGTGTGTGTGTGTGTGTGTGTGTGTGTGTGTGTGTGTGTATATATATATATATATATATATATATATATATATATATATATATATATATATATATATATATATATATATATATTAAAGTTTGTTTAAGTACCATATTATAAAATGTTTGCTGCACACTATTGAAAATACAAAGATGAAGTTTGATTTAAAATAAAATAAAAAATAAAAACTTTTTTTTCTTTTCTTAAAGCAGCTTTATGCAAATTTGATACAAACTAAATTTTAATACAAACAAAAAATACAAACATACACAGTAAAAAAAAAATTAAGTTAACTTAATTGATAAATAGTGCTCATTTTAATTAAGTAGTTTCAACAAGTAGCAAAAGTATTTTTTTTTTGAGAGCAAGTAAACATCTGAAATGCAGAGAGCATTGTTTTTTGTTTTTTGGTCACTATTTTGATGGCCCGTTTGTTGAATTTAAGTTACATTGAATCTACATGCCATTTTATTCTCATTAGTTATAAGTAGACTGCTAGGATAGGGTTAGGGTTACTGTAAGTAGTCTTGTAATGAACTTGCAAAGTTTCTTATAGTCAGTTAAATGTCTGTTGAAGGAGCAGTATCAACAGATATTAAGCAGACAGTATACTAATACTCAAATGTACCATCAAAATAAAGTGTTACCATTTTTTTACCATTTTTTGTTAATTTTTTACAAAATTGCATAAAACTGCCTATTTTATTTATTGTTTGTTCATTTTCAGATACAACACGTGAAGTTTATTCATAAACTAATTTCGAGAGGATCACGTGCTTATGATTTATCACGGCCAGTCTCGCATTTGCTAATCACTATCTTCCAATCATATGAGCCCTAAGCTACTATAAATAGCCACAGTTTTCAGTTCACTTTATCTTCGTTTAAAAGAAACCCCCCTCCTCCCCTATTCTCCTCCTTTACCTGTGATTGGGCGGCACGGCGGCCCAGTGGTTAGCACTGTGAGCCCCACAGCAAGAACACTGCCGGCCCTGGTTCCACAGGACCGGTGGGTGTTTCTGTGAGGAGTTTGTATGTCCTCCCCTTGTCCGCGTGGGTTTTCCCCGGGTTCTCCGGTTTCCTCCCACCATCCAAAGACATTCAACATGCATAACAATCAAGCTTGTCTAATCCCTTGTGTTCCCTTAGCTACCGCAGCAGGGGAGTTCTGAGATCCACCGAGCTCAGGCTCCCCTCTTGCTCTGCCAACGGGAGGAAGCCCCGGGCTCGAGGAGCCCTTGAGCTCGGGGCTCTCTCCCGGGACAGCATGCCAAACAAGCTTTTGTAAATCATCAGCTAAGTGTAAACTCTTGAATTGTAAGTGTGCCTGACTTCTTTTATTTTTTTAGCTATTTTTAATGATTTTTGTGATATTATTCATCATTTTGGTCACTTTAATCCTAATATGACATTTTCATACCGTTCCATCTCTACGCTGTAGCAATATTTACAAAGTGATTTTAAAACAAATAGTGGCCAAAACAGAAAAGCTGAATCCAAAGGCAGAGTGATATGGGAGCATTTGTACGGATGGGCTTGAATGAGGATTGGGCCGTCAGGATGAGACTTTGAAGGGGCTGAGTGAAGAGTATACAGTCGATAAGAGACTCAGCGATAAACAAGCCTGAGAAGCTCGATAAATCACCAAAGCTATTAAAGCGAGTGACGTGCACAGGCACTTCAACAGAAGCTTTTTAAAAGCGATATACAGACACTCGAGACATAAACACCATTTTATTCCCTGTCATCTCAAATTTTCAATCTTTCCAAAAAAAAAAAAAAATGTCCCATTTGATGCTGGGCTGGGAGAATGTTTTAGGCGAACAAACACAAAATCAAAACCTCTTGGAAGGCATTATACATGCAAGAACTGGAAAAGAAGGTGAAGGAAGTTGGATAAAATCACATATATTCTGAATGCGAAATCTGTCCACATTTCACTCAGAGATAAGTGCACCTGCTCGTTGATGGCGATTACCGATTGATGTTGACGGCGGTAAAACGCCATAAAAGAAGGGTTAGCTGTGGCGAACCTTCTCAAAATGAAAGCCTGTGGCATAATAGGAGGCATTTCTCACAGTGTGACGCCTGGCACATTAGCGAGCACTGTCGATGAATTAGCAGCCATCACTCACCATTCACCGTCTGTATTTATAAACGAGAGCCTGAACGTATATCAGCCTCAAAGGGAATGCTTTTCATCTTATCAATGTCGTCTTATACTTGACCACAGTTTCAGGAAAGTTGCAGTCAACTGTACGAAGTCACTTTAAACTTGTTGTGAATCTAAAAATTTATGTTTAGACAAAGACAAAGCTCTGCGCTTTTAAATGCCTCATTGTGTTTTATATGGGAGAAAATACCAACTAAATGTAACAAACAGGACTAGTAACCACTCATCCAGCCATCATCGCCTGAATTCTGACTGCCTGTTCTTCGTTGGTTACCTTCTGTTTGGAGGCCATATTAACCTGGCCACACTAAACACTCAGTGCGAAGTATTGCCGGTATCTGCAGCATTACCAAGCGTTTTCTCTTTGTTTTGTACTGCCTTTCTTTTCTGACCTTTGTGCCTGTTTTGTTGGCCGCTGCTTTTGAAATACTGATTTTGCCTTGACTGCCTCGTTTGGACTGTCTGTTTGTTTCTCTCAATCTTGCATGCTTTACCCATAACGATTGAGCCTTGTGATTTGGATTTGTTTGCTGAGAACTATTAAACTTCTTGCACTTGGATCTAATCTGTCTCCATGTCGTCACCACCGCCATTGTCACACTAAACTTTTGGTGCTTGTACAAACTGCTTATTTAAATGATCTGAATCAACATAATTGTTCAGTTTTTTTGGGGAACAACTTAATTGTTTTATGTTTAATCCACTTACATTTGTAAAAACAATAAGGTTAACTGAATTAGTTTGTGTTGGGACAACATGAAGTACTTGCATGTTGAAACATTCCTGAAACTCCACACCCTCAATTTTTTTTTATTTTAGGATTTTCTTCTCTGCCTGGTACAGTATTTTGTCTGATCTGGTGTATATGTGCTCTGTAAAATTAGCCTGGATTCTCTCAAGTTTTTTTTTAACAATCGGTGAAGTTTTGTCCAATGTAGTTTTCAAGTTATACTCCAATGTAGATTGTTTCAAAACAGCTTAACATAGAAGTTTTAGTAAATTGAAACCGTGCCAGTCCAATCTAATCCCAGGTCACAAGCTATAGTTCCCGACAACTTTGCAATTCTATTTGTTAATATTTGCTTGATATCTTGGATTTGAAAAATACCAAATCACGCTGCTAAGTTCGCCGTAACCAAACTTGCGACAGTTGGCTGATAACACTTTCTGTGTTTAGCGCAAGTTCATATTTTCGACTTTTTATTATAGGTGGACTCTTAACACCTTCCAGGCTGAAATCGACAGTTTGTTTCTTCACTTTTGCTGACATTCGGAGGGAATCAGGCCAAATGTCTTCAACCATTTACACAAGAAAAGGAGAGTCTGATTGCACAATGACACACATTTTATTTGTCCAGATCTCTCTCTTTGCATTTTCTGACTCTGGTAGTGTGTCCTGAAGAGCTAGAGGGTTGTAGAGCTGAGCTATTGCTATCATTGAGGCTGCATCTTGTGATCGTACATCTAGCCTTCACTCAGAGAGACCTGCTGTGCATTCTAAACCGGCCGCTCTCCGCGGTCCTGAATTCATCTTTCTGAGCTCGGAGCTCTCCATGGTGCTGAACAGGAGAGGCGTTTAATGCACCGTCCCGTGCTGTTTTAAAGCCGTTTCCAACACGCTAAAAGTGCCTGTGATGCCGTTTCAACTCCGAAAAATGCCTTTAGCTAATAGCTGGAACCCAAATGCGCCATTAAAAAAGCAAAGTGTTGCCTTTTTTAAAACTTTAACAACGATAAAGTTCAGGCCAAAACGCCACAAGCAAGTTTTCAGAGCATTTCACACAGTGTGACCTGGAAATGAGGAAAGGTCATGGTCAAGTAACATAGACCTTATTATAAAAGATTGTTTCCAGCACTAGTAAAATGATTAAAAAAAACTTTTTCAAATATATATAATTCTATATTTTTTAAAATTACAAACATTTATATTTTTTATTAATGATTTTTCTCATAATTCTGACTTTTTGAAATTGTGTTTAGCTATTGCATTTCTGAATTTCTTTAAACTTGAAATTGTCTAATTAATTGGTAACTTTTGTATTTATTTATTTATTTATTTATTTTAGAATCGCAGGATACAAACTTGAAACAGTTTGTTATTTAGCCCAAGTTATGAAATATAAACTTGCAGTTGTTAGAATTTTGTCTTTTTAGCCTACTCAGAATCAGACGTTTTGACTTGCTTTTTTTTTTTGGAATTACAAGTATAAATTCCTGAAATAATCTGGAAACAGAGAGAAAAAAGATCAAAAAGTCTTGTTATGATGTTGAATAATTCTGCAACTACTGTCACCCAGTAAAAAAACTATGACTGTTTTCAAACAGGTTTCCTAAACCAGAGTTTCCAAAAACATGCACTATAGGTGAATTAGGTAAGCCAAATTGTCCGTAGTGGTTGTGTGTGAATGAGAGTGTATGGGTGTTTCCCGGTGATAGTTTGTGACTGGAAGGCCATCCGCTGCATAAAACATATGCTGGATAAGTTGGCGGTTCATTCCGCTGTGGCGACCCCAGATTAATAAAGGGACTAAGCCGAAAAGAAAATGAATAAATAAGCATGCAAATAAAAAAAATTAGACCAGAGCTTTTTATCACTGATGTTTAAATGCGTGCCTACTTTCATGACAACAGAGTGATTGCACTGATGCAAACTGTAATTTGAACCATGGACTTAAATCAATTGTACGCTAAAAATCTGGGTGAAATCAGAATTGACAGGGTTTATTTTGCGAGAGCACATTGTTAGTGTTAAGGTGAACATTTAATCTTTGTTTTGGTGATCTTTAATCGGAATACAAACAGCAGTCCCACTCTGATGATGTCAGTTTGACAGCTTAGATGAAGACTTAATGCTATTTATAACTTGATTGGTCAAGCTACCTCACAGAAGTGTTCAGTTTGTTAACAGAGATGTTGAATGTAAAATAAGGCGAATTAAATAAAAAATTAGCAACATCCTGGATCTGTTTCTTCACTCTTCTTCATTAATTTTTTTTATGTTTTATAGAAGTATCTGATGGAGTTTCGGTATCGGTAGATACTCAAAATCAAATGACTCGGAGACGGTGGCAAAAAAACCTGATCAGGACATCCCTAATTTTTAGATCCCAGTGTTGACAGTCTTATAACTACTTATAACAGTCTTATGACTACTTTAAAAATTTATTTAATATATTGTTATATTCAAAAAATGTAATTACATAAAAATGCAGCTAACTGAACAATTTTACTAGACATGCAAGACGTTCAGCTTACCTTCATTCATTGTCTTGCTGATGATCCCTGTGGGCACAAAAATATACAACAGATCAATATACAAGTCAAAAACCGGGAAAGATTTGTCAAGCATCAAACAATAAGTATAATATAGCTTTATTTTTTCCCTCATTCAAATGTGTCCTGTTGAATTTTTGAATTGAATGTTTATACTGAGATTGAGATATAAATTGAGATTAATAATAGTTATTATACCAAAAAATGTGTTTCTTAAAAAACATTTGATTTGTTAAAACACATTAAATATCATAGTTCATTCATTCATTCATTTTCGTTTCGGCGTAGTCCCTTTATTAATCTGGGGTCTCCACAGCAGAATGAACCGCCAACTTATCCAGCATATGCTTTACACAGCGGATGCCCTTCCAGCTGCAAGCCATCACTAGGAAACTATCATAGCTCAGTGCTAAACTATTAACTGAATATAATTTACATTTTAAAACACAACCATTCAGACAAAATGCGATCACAAAGACAATTTTAATTATTTAAAATGTATTAACCATACCCCCATAAAAATACAAAAAAAATATATTTTAAAAAAGCATTTATATAAATATATATTTTTAATTTTTTTTTTTTTTTTTTTTTTTTTTTATTGTAGGCACAAACCAGATTTGCGTCATGGCCTCTGAACTCGACAAGTTCACAAAGGTAACAGCAGGTCACAGGCTTTGGTATTCGAGTTTATCAAATAAAGCTTGCCGTCTTTCAGACAATTAGCGGCTGCCAGTATTGCCATGTCTTCACCACAGGACCTGTAAAATCTTTATGACAGCATTCATTTTGTGCCGACTCCATTGGGACTCGACGGGCAGCGACAGGGCTGTGTGTCAATTCGTAAAGCCAATCAAGCGATTTCATTATTTAACACACATTCACTGACACACACACACACAAACACACACATCAATAACAGATGAAGAAAGATAGAAAAAAATGTTTTTTTTAAGCTTGCGATTTATAACATTTGGTAAAACTGGCCCAATAAAGGGTGAATAAACATAATAAGCAGAGAGAGAGTACATAAATAAAGCTAGATAAATGGAGAACGGGAGCAGTGAGGTTTTCAGATCTGCTAAAACTTGCTCTAAAATGTGCCCAAAAGTAGTTATTCACCCTTATTTTTGTCTGTAAAATGGAGGTCACTGGACATTAATTTGGACCCCATTATCTTCCATTATGTGGACAAAAACAGTTGTGCCATTGTTTAGGGTATATGGAGAAGAAATCAAGTCATGCAGGTTTTGGAAAACCATTAGGGTGAATAAACATGATAAACGGAGAGACAATAAACAATTAAAGCTAGATACATGGAGAACGAGTGCAGTGAAGTTTTCAGATCTGGCTCTTAAATTTCCTGAAAGACAGTTTATTCACCCTCATGTCCTTCCAAACCAGCATGACATTCATTTTTTAGTGGAAAACAATATTATATATTTTGAAAAGCAATCCTTATTTTTGTCTGTACAATGGAGGTCATTAGACATACATTTGGACCCTGTTGACTTCAGTATATGGACAAAAACAGTCGTGCAGGTTTGGAATACATGATGGTGAGTAGACCTGGCATACATACACACACACCAATATAAGATAAAGAGAGCTGGAAAAATGCAAGTGAATTTTCCAAACTGAATACCTGCGAATATCTGTTAAAACTTGCTCTAAAATGTGCCCAAAAGTAGTTTATTCACCCTGATGTCATTCAAAACCAGCATGACTTTTATTTTCAGTGAAACACAAAAGAAAATATTTAGAGAAAACGTCTCTCTTTTTGTCCAAATTTGACAGTTATTTTTTTTTTTATTAAAATTTTTTTTAGAGTGAACTGAATTACATTATATGGCCAAAAGCTGTCATGCCATTGTTCCATATATCTGCTGAAGCAAATCATACAGGTTTGGAAATACATTAGGGTGAATAAACTTAATAAACAGAAAGAGAATAAATAAATAAAGATAGATAAATGGAGAACGAGTGCAGTGAGGTTTTCAGATCAGGTAAAAACACGGCTCTTAAATTTTCTAAAAAGATAGTTTATTCACCCTCATGTCATTTCAAACCAGCAGGACTTTCACTTTTAGTGGAAAACAATATATTTTGAAAAACAGCCATTATTTTTGTCAGTACAATGGAGGTCATTGGACATAAATTTCGACCCTGTGGACTTAAATTATATGGACAAAAGCAATTGTCCCATTGTTCAGGGTATATGGAGAAGAAATCAAGTCTTTAGGTATGGAAAAACATGAGGACGAGTAAACCTGACACACACACACACATTTGTTTTTGTGAAAAGTGGGGACATTACATTGGTTTCCATTCATTTTATACTGTCCAAACCGTATATTATGTTGCCCTCACCCCGCCCCACCCCTAAACCCAACCATCACAGGAGACGGTGTGCAGCTTTACTCTCTGATTAAGCTCATTCTCTAGGATTTATAAGCATTTTGAGAAATGAAGACGTCACCAATGTCCTCATATTTCACCTCTTTTTTGTAATATCTGTGTCATACCCATGTCATTATACAGATTTGTGTCCTGATATGTCACAAAAACACGTACACACACGATAAAGCAAGCTAGAAAAATGCAGAGTGCTGTGAATTTTCTAAACTGATTGCCTGCAAATATCTTCTAAACCTTGCCCTAAAATGTGCCCAAAATGAGTTTATTCACTCTCATGTCCAAACCCGCATGACTTTATTTTCAGTTAAACTATTTAGAAAAACATCTCTCTTTTTGTCTTTATTGTGGAAGTCCAAATTTGTGTTTATTTTTTGTACTCAACTGACTTCCATTGTATGGCCAAAAGCTGTCATGCCATTGTTCAAAATATATATAGGTATCTGTATTAGGATGAATTAACATGAGTTGGAAAAAACACATGATTCCAGTCTTGAGCCGGGTCACGGCACCAAGTAGTTGGAAAAAAAATGATGAACCCAGACAAGGAGACTCAAACAAGCAGGATTTATTTATTTAGATGTGTTGGTTAGTCTGCGGTCAAACAATGTCTTCAAGAAGTCCACGAGTCTGCAAGAGCCTACAGGATTCTCTTTCAAGTCTTTAACAAGTCCGACTTGAGACAGAATCGTCCTGCCTATTATGTGTTTAAGGAGGGGGCAGAGTTTGTAGGTGTGAGGCATGGTTAGTTTTAGTTGAAGATCTTGTTTTAGGGTCTTGAGTAGATCCTGAGGTTTCACCTTCCCTGACCAGCTTGAAAGTATCACCCAAAGACAAAGGCACAATTGTTGGGATCCTGCCTTTAGCATTTGCATCACTTTGGCTCAGGCAATAAGGTTAAGAAGGCAATAAGTTTTAATGTCTCTCATACTTTGGCTGCTATAGTTTTGACTAAAACTATTAAAAATCACATGTCTCGAACTCAAGGTCTAAAAAACCCTGATCGGGACATCCCTAATATATAGACATTTTGAAAAACATGCATACAATGAAAGTCAATGGGTCCAAATTGTTGTTATTCCATTGCCAATAGCAATCACACGATAGTTCAAAAACATCAGCAGTTGAAAGTAAGTACGACAGGTTTGGAACAACATGAGGGCGACAAAAGTAAACAACAACACAATTTATTTTCAGACCTCGAGTTCTTCTAAGAAAGTGAAAAGGCCTCCATTATCCGTGGCGCATGAAGGAGCGTCTAAGAAGCAAACACAGGTGCCACTGATGTTTCGGGTGAGAGCAGGTGGGACAGATAACACACTTTATCAGCAAAGCCCCAGACCAGACCACATGCCACGGAGACGGATCTATCAGTGAGTCCATCAGAAAGAAACGTGTGAAAGTGAGAGGAAGAGGACAGGTGGGCTGGACACGCTCCCTTTTTCGGCTGGTCAAACCTGAAGCGCTTGAGCTAATGCTGAATTTATTCCCCCCTCCGGTAGATTAAACTCGCACTGCGTCCCTCAGGACTTCACTCCACTACAGTTGGTCTGCAGGAAATGGGTTTTTTTATCTCCCATGTTTGAGCGTGTGAGACGACGGCGCCGGGTGTAGAAACGCTTAAGTAACCATGTTTATCTAATTTGCTCTGGCCCATTTCTGGTGAAAATTCAATATTTCTTTTTTTCAAAGACATCCAAAAGGAACTTGCAGGGTTTTTTCGGTGTGTATTTTTTTGTTTGGCGGATTCCAGAATCTTTGCAGCGGTTGCTTAAGAGTTATTTACAATTGCAGGGTTATTCTTAGAAAGCAGCAAACTGATTTGTCTTAAATTTGCTGTAAGCTTCTTAATATTTCAGCATTCATTCATATTTCAAGTTCAGAATTAATCTAGAATTTCTAGAAAAAATATTAATTAAAATAACAGACGTTATTAAAAACATTTTATATAATTAAACACACACACACACATACAGTTGAAGTCAGAATTATTAGCTCGCCTTTGAATTTTCTTTTCTTTTTTAAATATTTCCCAAATGATGTTTAACAGAGCAAGGAAATTTTCACAGGATGTCTGATAATATTTTTCTTCTGGTCTAATTTGTTTTATTTCGGCTAGAATAAAAGCAGTTTTTTATGTTTTAAAAAGCTATTTTAAGGACTTTAACTATATATATATATATATATATATATATATATATATATATATATATATATATATATATATGTGTGTGTGTGTGTGTGTGTCATCGGAAAGTTTAACCCTAACAGAGTAAAAAAATGCACAAGTGATTTACATGTCAAGTCAATGCAAAGATGTGAATAGACATCCTGCGGCGCGTTTGGCACTGATGACACGATTCGCACGAATTAAGCCTCATTTACACTAGGAGTGACTTGCAGGGGCAAAGTAACATGCACTTGTTCATTTAAACGTAGAGTGAGCAACTTCCGGCAACAGCGAGTGACAGCAAACATTGGCGACCAGGTGGGTCTGTCGAGCGACGCAACAAAGATGAGAATCCTTCAACTTTATGCGAATGAAGAGCGACTTTCTTGAGCGGCAGCCAATAGTAGAACCACTCTCAGCTCGC